TGAAGTGCCCTGCTTGTGGCCACTGGGAGTAAGAGTGAGTAATAACGCCTTATATCACTGTCTGGCTACTTGAAATCGTTCAGCGTTATGGCTTAGCTGTCCGGACAGTATCTAGGGAAATTGTAGCCTAGTCTAGCAGTTCCCAGCTTGCAGAGGTGTCATGTGGCTTACTGAGCTCTTCTCTCTCTTGCAGGTGACGGCGGAGGCCCGGTGTAAGTTGATCAGCTGGCTGATCCCTGTGCACCGGCACTTCGGCTTCTCCTTCGAGTCCCTGTGCCTGGCAGTGAATACCCTGGACCGATTCCTCACCACCACCCCAGTGGCTGCCGACTGCTTCCAGCTGCTGGGAGTCACTTCCCTCTTCATCGCGTGCAAACAGGTACTAGGCATGAGACGCGGGCGGCGGGGGCCCCTTTCTCTTGGGTGCACATGACGGGAACGTCAGGCACCGTCGGGGAAAAGAGAATGAGCGCAGGACAAACGCTTCTCTCGTCCTAACTCTAGAGGTGAACTGAGCTCTGTGAACAACAAGGCTGATGCCACACGAGATCTCTGGGGAAACCGCTCAGGCACGTAACCCTGCTCGAGTCGCGCAAGTTCCTCTGCTTTTTAAAGAAGGTTTCACGCCCACCGCGCTGGGTTTGTATCATTTCACTACGCTCTGCACGGCGCTTAGGCAGTGGCAGTTTAGCTCTCTGATGCTGTGGCCTGCCTGCCTGCAGCTGATGCACTGCAGGGCATGCGAATGCAGGGCCGGCCTCGTGCTCCGAGCTGCCTTCTGCCCTGTTTGGAGCGCGGGGGAGCGGGTTGCTCTCTGCCTGTGTAGCAATGCTGTATTTGTTTCTTGGGCTCTGCTTGCACTGCAGTGATGTTTCTGCTGGCGTGTCTTGCAGGTGGAAGTGCATCCGCCCAGAGTGAAGCAGCTCCTAGCCCTTTGCTGCGACGTCTTCTCCCGTCAGCAGCTCTGCAATCTGGAATGCATCATCCTAAACAAACTACACTTCAACCTGGGGGCACCGACCATCAACTTCTTCTTGGAGCACTTCACCCACCTGCGTGTGGAGTCCTGCCAGGCAGATGCCAGGGAGGCAAACAATGCCAAAGCTCTGGCCAAAGGGATGGCCGAACTTAGCATGGCCGACTATGCTTTTAACAAATATGCCCCCTCCCTTCTGGCCATTTGCTCCCTGGGACTGGCAGACCAGATGTTGCACCACCAAAATCCACTGGACTTGCATATAAGTGGCTACCCAGAGGAGGTTTTACAGGACTGCACGGACAAACTGCATTTACTGGTGTCTTTAAACGGAGATTCTTTACCGCATGTACTACCCCCTGGATATTTCTGAAAAGTGTCTGCAGCTGGGAAGTTAAGCTAACTGGACCAATACACTTGAAACCCTCTTATGGCATCCAAAACATCTGTGAATTTTAAGAGCAATTTGGTTCCTTTTCATCAATGCATTGTATTTTTAAAACTAATAATTGCTATACCTCTAAAGATAACAGTATTGGCCTTATTCTCTTACTTAATTGACTAATCAATGTATTATATTTGTATTTATTTGAACTCTACAGTGTTGGTTTAGAGTTTTGATAGATGACAAAAATTAAATCACATTTTGCACATTTAATTACTGTATGTTAATTGCACTGACAGATTTTATATATCTACATTCAACGTGTAAATAGTGTATATAATCCAAGTACTGTACAGTTTATTTATTTAGAAAATGGTTCACTAAGCACACCTTAACAGAAGCCACAGGAAGAATAAAAGAACGGTATAAGCATTTCTTAATAAACTTTTTGTCACTGATCAATGATGGTCTGTTTCCTTGCAATTTTGTACATATTCCACAGAGGAAATTCATTGCTAAAGAATTAACAACTATGACAGGTCTTAAAAAATACCAACCAGTAGAAAATAATCGTGCATTATTGTATTATTTTCCATTAAAATACATTTGCATCATCTAGCTTGTATTCTGCATCTGAAAAATTAGATGATGTAGTACAATGAATGAGCCCCATCCTCACCCCCCACAAGTACCTTCATAGGGTACTATTCCCCCTTTTTCCCTGGGCAGTGCAAGTCCATAATATGGGAGCACAAAGTATCCCTGACTCTTATTGCCTGGGTGCATCCAGCTCCAGGTATGCTAGGGGCACTTTCTGGCTGAGGGTACCGATTCAGCAGCCTCTCACTGCCATAGGTCCACTGGGGGAAATGGCTCACTTCTGGCTTCACAAATATTGTGAAGAGAACAGCACGATGTGGACAGTATTAATGACACTGCCATCTAAATGGGTTTGTAGACATCTCCAATGGGCTTTCAATTTGCCAAAAGCACATTCAACAATCATTCTACACTGTCTGGGAATGTAATTAAACAGTCTTTTGTCAGGGCCTCTGAAATCATGGTACTGTTTGATAAGCTAAGGCAAAGGGAGAAATGCAGGGTTCCCAAGAATAATGGTGGGGATAGAAACTCCGTTTATGACAATGTCATTTGGTGGGACTAGTGTCCCAGCCTGTCCATGGATGTAGGCGCCCGATCAGCAAAAAATAATTGCATTGTGAATTTTTTCAGTGCATCTCACACTGACAGTCATAAATTGACCTCTGTGGTCCACAAGGGCTTGTATAACAATTATTACCCTCTGTGCTTTAGGTACTTATGTGTTCCTTGAGGAGGGCAAACTATGGGCACCTGAGTCCCATCAAGGGCCCTGGTGCAGTTTGGAAACCACATTCTCTGACAGTCAGCAATTACTTTAGGAATATCTTTTATGCCCACCACCTTGGGGTAAACCTCTGGTCTGATTGCCTCAGCAACATCTGCCACCATTTTACCCATCGTCGACTTTCCCACACAAAACTGGTTTGCAGTGGACCTGTAGCAGTCTGGGGCAGCAACAGCAACCTGCTTCAGGACAGGCAAGGCACATGTATCTTTACACTGGAGGGCTGGGACATGCTGATCACAAAGCTCCAGAAATGTAGCTTTCTTCATGAAAAAGTTCTGGATCCACTGTTGGTCATCCCAGGTGTGCATGACTATGTGATCCCACCAATCTGTGCACGTGGCCCTGCATCAGAAGCACCAGTCTATGTGGGATGGGGCAGGGGCATCAGCAGCTATACTGAGTGTCATAAGCAGCATCAGCCAGTTCAAGTCTGTCATGCCTGTATTCTCCTCCTCCAGCTCCATTATAAGCTCTGTCAGGTGCCTTAGGTGGGTCAGAAAACACCGCCGAAATGTCCACCAGCACTCATGGAAGCTCTGCCCATTTCCTGACACAGGAGGGAAAGTGCTGCGCAAGCAAAAGAAGTTCTTGAAAAGGCGCCTCCTCCGTGTCACTGGCTCCGGTTGCTGGGAGTACGCAGACCAAAATGATGCCTTGACAGTCTGTGTTGGTGAGCTGTTCAAACTTCTGGAAACCTGCAGCGTGGACAGTCAAGTTTTCCCACAGTGCACCACAGTCAAAGCGCTAGAGTGGCCACATTGCACAAAGGAGTCTGTGCTATGGCTGGTTTGACTCAAGTCTTTGTGCTACAGTATGCATAATAGAGCCCCAGGTTCAAACCCCGGGGTTAGGAAAATCTTAATTTAGAGTTAACAATCAGTATGGATGCTCAAGCTCTGGGTTCTGTAACCCATGGTCAGCTGATTCATGTCCCACTAACCCTGGGCTTACATTGCAGTGTAGACATAATTGTTTCTCCTTCTTTATTCTGCTATCAACCTAGTTTTAAAAAAGTTTTTGATCGGTCCTGACCCTAAAAGGTAATGTATGTACTAAGGCATAAATGGACAAAAACAGGGCCAAGCAAAGTCAAACCTATAACTTGATTTTGGAAATGCAGTCCTGCAGATACAGTTTTAGATAAGGACCTAAAATGCTTCCAGGAGGGATCCAAATGTTTCAGTCTCCTAAGGCACCCTTACCTGATGCACTTGTAATGTTAGGAGACTAGAAAGACCACCTGTGTAGAGAGTGCAATTCATTTAAATGTGTCATGGTCATTTAAAAACGTATATTGACACACCCAAACAGGCTTGTTTGCATTTATTTCTCACTGTAATGTATAGTAAACCGCAAGTAACAGATGGTTTGAAAAACCTCACTACCTGCTTTTTGCTAGGGTCCTCTCCTATTTTGTAGGTCACTGTGGAGGGCACTAGTTATTCATTATTATTATTTATTTATATTACCATATGCTCTAGGAATCTCTGTCATGGACCAGAACCCCACTGTGCTAGGCCCTGTACAAACACAGTTGCTACCCGTCTTCTCTTTAAAGTATGAGCCACCCGCTAGCAGGTCCAGGTTGTGCATTTTAAAAGACATCATATCCTATCCATCATTACAGCTAGTTGTGTTGATCTCTTTGTACACAGGGGTATTACTGAAGTTTGTGCTTCAGAAAACACCGTCTTTTTCAGATACTGGTGATTATGTGTAGCACAGCACTCTGCAGACCAGAAAAAACAGACAGGTGGATACAATCTAGATGAGGGGTATATTGCAGAGAATAAAAGACAAGGGGCCTTGGATTTAAAATTCCTCTGGACCACGCACTAGACAATGTAATATAGGGAGGTATCCTGCTTTGGTAGAGGGATAGTTTGGAGGAACTAACGCGGTTTCACCTCTGATGTCCATGATTCTGGGGGAGTTACATATTTCCCCCACCTTTTTGGCAGAGTCATGTTTTTAATAACTGCACTTCTTGCATGATGGTGTCCTGCATGGGAAGGTCTTTAGCTATGGCCCAGGTGAGTTCTTCTCTCGCCCATCACCGTGCTGTGTGAGCCCTTAGCCTGTGACTCCCCAGCTCTTTGCTGTGCGCCCCGTCAGATCTCTGGCACGCTGGAGCCAGAGAGTCCAGCCGAGCAGATTCTGGTTCGGGGCTGGGCGTAAGCCCGCTGGATACGGCCTTGTGCCGGCGCCAATGTGCGCTGCAAGGGCGCAAAGCTGCCGCTGCTGCAGGACCCAGGCGATGCCCTGTTGCCAGGTTGACTGTTAGCGCCTCTGCAGGGCGCAGATTGTGCCAAGGCGAAGGCGCCACCTCTGGCGCTCACTCCGCAGCCAGCCCCGCCCCCGTTCTCCATTCACCCCCCTCTCCGCTCCCCCTGGACCCGCTGCCCTGGAGACCGGTCGGGGCCCCTCCAACGGTGTCAAAACCAGCCCCGTAACGGCCATGTGCAGCCTCTGGGCCGGGCGCTGGACGGGTTTGCCTGCAAAGAGCGGGGCGGAGAGAGCCGCGCGCGGGGAGAGCCACAGGGTCCCAAAAGCCAGAGCTAAGCTAAGGCCCCTGGTCCAGCCTGCGCCATGCAGAACCGCAGCGGCAGGAAAGCCTTTGACAGCATCTGTCCCAACAGGGTGCGAGATCTGTGCAGCCGGCTAGGCAAGAAGCCAGCCAAGCTCGAGAGGAAGGTGCGTTTGGGAGACGGTCCCGCGCCGCGGAAGAGCTTTGCCAGCACCACTCCAGTGGCAGTTTACAGGGACCAGCCTCCCGACACGGTAGAGCTAGGTGAGTTGTGGTGAATGCGAATTCTAACTGGTCGAAACCCCTTCCCCGCTTTGTGTGAAAGCAGGAGTCCCCGGGCTTGTTCCTAGCCTCTTCTGGCCACCCGTCTGTGCAAGGACCAGGGCAAGAGCGGAAAGTGGGTGTCAAAGGGGCTGCTGCGCTGTCCTGCACCTGTCGCCTCCAACGAACATTTGTTGCAAATGTCTGTTTCTCCCCTCCCACCCCAGCACTTGCCACCTACAACGAGCATTGTTGTAAATGTCTGTTTCTCTTCCCCCCCCAGCACTTGCCACTATCGACTGGCAAGATTTAGCAGACTGCACCTCGGTCTTTCAGCAGGAGACTTCTAGTGTTGCAGCTGCCCCGCAGGTAACTGAGGCCGAATTGACACCCCCTCACCTCCCCGGACACCCCCCCACTAGGCAGCCTCTGAATATCCCCCAGTTTAATTCAGATGAACTTGTTCCTCAACTTAATCTGGCGCACGGGCGTTCGCAAAGGAAGAGGAGGCATTTCCACGCACGTTTGAGCCGCTTCTCTTACCTCCTTCCTCTAAGGCAAGCTGCGGTTAACCAGCCTTTAAATGAACGGGCAGGTAGCTAGGATGGCTACTTGCTATATCCAATCCGCTCAGAAATAGTGATGGGTGGGGTTTGTAAACTTCAGCTAAGAAAAGATCAAGGCATTCTGGTAGCTATCAGTGCAAGCGGTGGATGAGTCTGAATATATTGAAGTGCTTACCCTTTAATAGAGCTCCCTTAGGCAATTCTCCTGCTGACTTCTGGGGCAGTTCATAAGGGTTAAGACGTAGCCATCTTCCCAAAGCACCCCAAGAAGTCCTTGATTCCCTGGCTGCTGCAAAGGGAGGGGAGCTGTAAGCTGTTTAATGAACTCGCTGTGTATTTAGTTTGGAAGTATCACCTACAGGTCAGTCATGCCCCGAACAGCAGGCTCTGCACGTAAAACTAGGCGAGCCTATGGACAAGCAAACAGGGACCAAGCGACCTTCGCTTTGCAAATCCGGAGTCAGACAGGACCATCTTCCCCCTGGTTCCAGCTCGGAACAGGTGTTTATGGTTCCACCCCTTCATTGAATGCCGCCGGCTTCAAGCTGAGTGTTGGCTCAGCTTCATCCCCGTGCTCTCCCATCTTCCCACCCTCTCTTGTTGTCGCAGATGGGTTGATTTAGGGACGACTAGCAGCTCTAGGCTGTATGGCGAAGACGGAGGACCCAGTGCGGGAATTGGAGAAGGGGGCACTCAGTGCCTGTGTTCTGGAAACACCTAGGTACTAAAGACAGACATTGGTCTCTTTCTTATCATCCTGGTGCTAATATGGAGCATACTCCAAAGCCTGTTGCAATCAGTGGAAATATTCCCAATGACATCAGTGAGCTTTGGATCTGGCCCATACAGACCCTCCAGCGAGTAAAGCAGAAACCTCTAAAACAGAGGTTCTCAAACTTCATTGCATGGTGACCCCCTTCTGACAACAAAAATTTAGTACAACCCAGGAGGGGGGCCTGAAGACGGAGCCCCCCTGAGTCCCGCTGCCCTGGGGATGTGTGCAAAGCTGAAGCCCAAGGGCTCCTGCCCTAGGTGGGGGGCACGTGACCTTAGCCCTGGGCGGTGGATCTTGGGCTTGGGCTTCAGACTTGCTGGGGCCCAGGGCCAACACCAACCTTGGCAACCCTATTAAAATGGGGTCACGACCCACAGTTTGAGAACCGCTGCTCTAACAGAAATGAACCGCCTTGGGTTTCAAAAGGGTCAGAAATCAGCCACTCCTGAGGCTGAGGCTGAGACTCTTCCTGAAATGGGATAAGAAATGTGTAAATCAGAATAAATACTGCCTAGCATTTTGGAAGCAATCCACAGACTGGGTAGGTGGAGGGCTAGTGGGGACCTCTGCTCTCCATTGTTTATTCCAAGCCATTTAGCCCTGCTAGTTTATGCCACCATCTCGTTCCTCACATGATTGTCCTGCAGGGGGGGCGGGGGGAGGACCTGTCTCTTGCAATGTTTCTACCACTCCTAGCACAATGGGGATTTGATTGTGATTGGGGTCTCTGGATGCTATTGTAATAATATATTCATAGCTAGCTCTTCTAGGGGACTTTTCATCAGTAGAGCTCAAAGTGTGTTACAAAGGATGTCAGTATCATTACCCCCATTGTACAGCTGGGGAAACTGAGGCACAGTGCAGGGAAATGACTTGCCCAAGGTCACCCAGCAGGCCAATAGCAAAGCAAGGAATAGAACCTAGGTCTCCTGAGTCCCAGTCCAGTGCTCTATCTACTAGCCACTAATAAAATGAATGAAAAATCCTACAATACTGTTTCAAAGCTCCCTGCATTAGATACACCATTTGAAAAGTTTTGCAGAACGCTCTTTTTTCAAGCTGAGCTGAATTACAGAGGCTGTGTGAATAGGCATTTAGCTGAATAGTGCTTTGCCCCTTTACGTGTCAAAACACTCCATTTTGGGGGATTGAAATGAAGATAAAATTACTGGGGTTCACTCCAAAAGTGCGGGAGATCAGAAAAAGATAACTCTGGTACAAATGTAGGAAAAGGGATTATTGATAGAAGTGCTTGCTCACTGAGAGAGTGAGTGGTGCTGTAGTTATAGTTCAAGACCACTAGGAGTCAGGCGATCTGAGGTCTAGTCTGTCATTCCCAACTGTGACAGACATCTCTTTGCAGGTCACTTACCCTCACTGAGCTTCAATTCCCCCATCTCTAAAATGGGCACAGTTTCTGTCTAAGGCCTCTCCATCTCTCCCTCCTTATGTTGCTCTCTTGAGTGAGGTTATTCTTTATTGTGTCTCTTGCATGAACGGGGCTATTCTGCAGCCGTCATTGTTGGGGCAAGGCTTGCTGAAAGAGAGACACTTTTGCACTGCACCTTAAAAGTGACATATATTGCTTTCATCCTGATCTCCATTTCTAAGGAGCAGAGACGTAGCGAGCGCCCTCCGTACCCTCCGACCGGAGGGGCCCCCGCAAGGAAGGGGGCCCCTAAAAGTGGCCAAAAAATGTAAGGGGCCCCGCCCGGACATATGTTCGGAGGGGGCCACGTTCTTTGTTGCTACGGCCCTGCTAAGGAGGGTCTCCTGCCACAAGAGTCTTGTCCCTAGGTCATGTCTTGCTATGTATTTATGATACACCCAATGACTTTGGTATCCAGACCAATAAAGCTAGGCTCTGAGCTTCATTAATAGCAGCATCCCTGTTGATCACAGTTGATGGGTGATGGAAAGAGAGATGGTTTCTAAGATAGCTAGACCCAACCCCATTCAGCCCTTGAAAGATTAGGATGAGGACCTTTACCTGGATCCAGAATCTGAGAATGAGAGCAGAGTGGTATCTCCTGGTTGCTCTGTCTTAGCTAGGAGTCTGGCTGCTGCATGTTTAAAAGATGGATACATAAGATCTGAAATAGAAACGGGAAATGTATATATGAAAGACACATATACAGCTAGCTGTGTCCTCTGCAATACCAGCTGAATCTGCGAGGGAGGATGCCAGAGAACACAGGTGGGGCTTTTGTTGTGTCTGGAGCTTTATGTTGTGTAGTGGAGCAGACAAATAGATGACAGAATGTAGCAAGAAGAAATTTTAAAAAGGTAACCGTGCACATTTTTTTTGCACAATTTTCTTTCCCCTCGGTGTAGTCAATACCTGCGTGAAACTGCACACGAGCTAAGTTCATATTTTAAAGGACTGTTATTTGCCAGGATGCTCTTTGTCCACACCGTGCTTCTGTCCACGATCACAGATGTACTGTTCATACAGAATGCTATATGGGTGCACAAGAAAAGTGTGTTTTCTTCCATCCAGCCAAAATCGAGAGAGAGAGAGAGAGAGAGATTGGAAGAGAGGAGAGGAACTGTGCAGGAATAAAGCGATCCGTAGGAAGGCAAGAGGTTCTCTGTGAACAGACACCTGCCTAGGCGCACGGTATCTGAGAGCGAGGTGTGGGAGAAATGCTGTTGTAGCACAAGTGCTCAGGTTAATCGTTCACCGACTCTGGAGGAATGCGCAGGTTGGACGAATATGATTGGCTCGTGTTGCTAACCAATGAGAATAGAATAAGCAGCCTATATGGGGGCCCCAGGGCAGGCAGGCTGCAGCCCAACGCGTGCCATCATGGTTAACGGATCAGAGATTGCTCTTTTCTTCAATTACTAGTCACCTGCCACATTTACCTTTATACTGGTAGAGACACAAAGTGCTGCGCATCAGCTATTACACTGACCATGGCAGTACAAGCTTGCCCTTTCCAGTGTCCAGCTTGGGGACTAGAGTTCCAGGTATGTGAGTGTGTACACAACAGAGTGTGTGCACACCGACAAGCAAATCGAAGCAGCGCCGGAGACCCGCCATTAGTGTGTGGGCAGATTTGATTGACGAATCTGAATGCACTGATTAACTTGTATGTTTCCTTTACATGTTTCAGAGCCACTGCTTGCAACCTGAACCCGAGTTCGACTTCCAGGAGTTCAGAGATGCTGTCGATAGTTTTATATGTGGCAAGTACTTTTCTTATTGAATGTTAACACCATTATTCATACAGAGCACCGGCTGCCTTTGGTCCCCTAGCTTCATACATTGCATTTTGGTCCCCTCACGTGCTTTTGTCTTTTTGGGTACCAGTTTAATTTGCTATCAGTTTAGTCATTGGACATTACATAACTGAATGCACCAATGTAGCATTCGTTAAGAAAAGTTTGCACTGACATATTGATTTTTTTAAAATATTGTCCAACCCCAAGGGAATGCAAACGAAATATGTGTGTTTGGTACATACCAATGCTGTGGTACGTTAGTAGGGTGTCCAGACTTACACGACTGAATTAAACACCAGTTCAGATATTTACGATTTTTCCGCGTAAAGAGATATGATCTCACTCTTGTGATTTCCTCCATAGACCCATCCTCCTTAATGCCACCTCCACTGGACACTGAGGATTTCACTTTCCCTCTCGGCGACGGATTAGCCTTTAGCCCTTGTATTCAACCGTCACAAAACAATCCTCTTCCGCACATGAACTTGCAAAACTCCGCGGAACAGTACTGGAAAGATGTGGCAGACCAAAACCAGAAAGCGTTAGGGGATGCACTGGTGGAAAACAATCAGGTATGAAGGTAGAACGAATGCTCCTAAAATCATCCTGATCAGGTATTGCAGAGATTACTCAGACGGGGTTGTCTTCGTTTTATATTCCTTCCAAATTAACTGGTCCTGGCTTGATAGCTGAGTAATTGCAAGTGTCACATATTGCGCCCCACTTGCTAGCTTTGTTGGGCAAAGTCGTCTCCTGAACGGTCCCTGGTTACTGATCAATACTGTTTGCAAAGGTAAAGAGGCTAAATCGGTTTGCGTACGGTGTGTGCACACTACAGCGCCCGTGCACGCGTGCGAGCTGTAACCTGACTTTCTACGGTAGAGGAAATGTTTGATTTCAAACGGACACCTTGTCGTTCAACAGCTGCACGTGACATTAACCCAAAAGCAGGAAGAGATCACTTCCCTGAAGGAAAGAAACGTGCAGCTGAAGGAGCTAGCCAGCCAGGCGAAGCAGCTGGCCTGTGTGCTCGATGTAAGTGCTCCGGTTTCCTCCAGGTTTCTTTTCCAAAGCATTACTCACTATCCTCAGGGGGGAGGGATAGCTCAGTGGTTTGAGCATTGGCCTGCTAAACCCAGGGTTGTGAGTTCAATCCTTGAGGGGGCCACTTAGGGATCTGGGGCAAAATCAGTACTTGGTCCTGCTAGTGAAGGCAGGGGGCTGGACTTGATGACCTTTCAAGGTCCCTTCCAGTTCTAGGAGATGGGATATCTCCATAAAAGTGAGCGATAATGGGATACAGGGCCGGCCAGCGATTCCTTTCACTGCACGAGGCTTGCAGCCCGGAGACCCCCAGGGGGCGCCCGTAGGCCAGAAACGCGGAGCCGGAGCCAAAGCTAAGCTCCCACGCGGGTATATTACAACTCCCCGGCCCACGCGATGCGCCCAGCGGGAGCCACGGCGATCGGTTTAAAGCAGCCTGTTGCATTTTGTTTTACCCACAGAAACTGATGATCCACCAGCCCAAGGAGGGGGGCGACGCTTTCCTTCCCAGGAGCTCAGCTAAGAGAAGCCTGGAGCAGCTGTACGCGGCCAGGCAGGAGGACTGCGCAGAAGTGGATGAAATCCTGAGGGAAATATCAGACACCTGTAACGCGGCGCTGCAGACTATTGATGAGAACCGAGAGGCGAAGCGCCCTCGGCTGCAGGCGGAGGCAACACGAGCCCCGGACAGCCAGAGCCAGGCTATTAACATGTACGGGGCGTTCAGCGGACTGCAGGCTTGCCGCAGTCGCAGCTCGGTGGATCTGAGTAACAGCGAGTTGGAGGAAGGCGTGTCTTTCAGGACCTCCATCACAGATCACTGCACGATCCGGACACTAGCTTTCCCCCAAGGAAATGCTTTCACTATCAGGACAGCCACCGGGGGCTACAAGTTTAGATGGGTTCCCAGCTGAGCCAGGAAACGATCAGCTAACTACACTGGCCAAGGTCTCCAATGAAAACTTCGCACTGCCTGCACTGGAACTTAGCACTGTTCCTCCTTCCCCAGTCCCCCAAGATGACTTCCACTTTGTCTGTAGCAGAAACTGGAAGCGATTTTTTTTAAAGGAAAAGATGCATTTACCACAATACAGCTGTGGTGTGTTTTTTTCCTTTTAAGCCATTGTTGTGACCCTTCCAACTTTTGAGCAGGTTTAGAGAGATTCTTAAAGGGACACAGTCCATTTGGATTTTTTTTAAAACTCTGTAAATAGTGTGTGTGCCTTGAAACTTTAAAAAAATTAATTAAAATGTGAATAAGGGCTTCTCTGCTCCCCTGTTGATGTTTACGAGGGTCTTTTCAGCAACTAACTAGACAGGGGAAACAGCAAAACTGACTGTACACACTAGTCAAATACACACCCCAAACGAACTGGAAAAAAACAAATTGCCTCAGCAACTTCCTTCAGTTATAGTGATCGTGGGTATTGTAACTAGAGCAGGCAGAACATTTTCAGACAGAAATGTGACTTTCAAGTTGTTAGTGTCCCTTCACAGACAATAATTATTTATTATGGGTAATATTACTGTTGTTGAGATATCTTTGAAAGAAATATGTTGCCTGGTTTCTCTCACAGCAATTTTGTTAGAACGAATGTGAGGTTATAAAATAGTGATTTTAGATAGCATCTTTGGAAATGCACACACTATCTGAAGTATATTAAGCATACTACACTTTATTATTACTGGAATTTTAAATCCAGGAAGTTTACAAGATCACATTTAGACACTGACTTGTATACAACTGTACATGTATTTTTACAGCTACCGTGAGCACTAAAATGGTTTTGTACATTAAATTACAATGGATTTTTAAAAATAATTTCAAGTAAACATTGTTTTGCATCAGGCATATTCATTTACTTGGGTTTGTGCAAAAATAACAGTGTGTTCAATAACAGTGGAAGAAGAATATCTTTCTTACTGGAACTTGTTCCGATAAAGCAGACAGCCGTAGGAAAAAGAGACACTGCCTGTTAACATGCAGTAGAATTCTATCTGGTAAAGAGAAGTGCAAATAGCAATTTCAAAGGTTTGAACTGATACATTTAAATTGCAGCTACCAGTTCAAAGTTGTGTGGTTAGCTTGTGAACCAAATAACATTCTAATTAATATGTCATATAAGAAGTTTCCATTTCTATGGTACATAAGAGAATGAAGATCACAATCAGGGACTCCTTTGCACATCCACTGGTCCCTGCCCAGCATGGCTTAGCTGAGATTTTAAAGGCTCAAAGTCAGGGACTTCTCAGTTAAGGTTACAGTATCTGCTTGTTGCACAGGGCCATGCACACCAACAGAACTTTATAAATACATAGCATGGTGATGAAGGTGTGACTTGCAGACAGTACAGTTTCCTGTGAGCAATGCTTCATCTGATCTGAGTGGCAGGCTGCTTGGTAAAGGTGCTATCTATGAGTGCTCAGTGCTGGCACAATTCCAATCTGGTTCCCTCCTCAAGGGAAGCACTTTGCCATCCGAACTGAAATGCCTGGGAACAGTGATGGCTCTGCTTTGGGCAGGAGAGGCAGAATCTGCTGCATCTGTTTTCAATGTGTTTAGACATCACTGTTACCATAATTCAGTAGGGAATACATTGATAAAACACACCAAATTGCATCAAAACCTCCAGCCTCCCCCCTCCAAGTTTTTATTAAAATAAATACAAAGCTTACCAGGTAAATACATAATTTCATACTCAATATTTGTTCCTAAAATATAAGAAGGTCCAAATGAAAAGCTTTTAGTTCTATAAATAAGACACAATATAATAATCCACTCCCCAGACTACAAGCTAGTGATGTGTACTGCTCTTTTGAATTGGCCCAGAGATACCAATATTCTTTTACTCACTTATTTTGTTTTTTAATACTTGTTACAGAGTTTCCATCAAAACAGTCCAAATGTGATGAGGTGGCTGGGCAGATGTGCAGGTCTTTTAAGCATTGTCAATATATTGAATTCAACGGTCTTGTCTTCCATGACTTTATTTCCACCTGCTCCTACCATTCTGATACAGTGCACTGGGACACCGTCTTCTCATACAGGTTTAAAACTAGAAGTGTAAGTCTTCAACTGGAAATACTAGAAGAGAAGGCAGGGACTCAACTCCTTTTCGTCAGCTCCCCTGTTTTGGGCTCAATCTAGTAATTTTCTATTTGGGATCAGCCATGCTGTCTGTCTAATGGAAAAGTTCCCCAGCTCTCTGAATCATTTTTCCATTTTGTCCTTCTGGTGGCTCCAGGTCTTTGCGATTAATTAGATCAAGCCAGATTCCCACTAAGATTATGACAGTAGCATCATCAGGCCCTGATTCTCTGGTGTGGCTGAGGGGCACTTCATACAAATCTACAGGGGTATGTGTTTGCAAAGGAACCTTAAAGCCACCTTTCTGCCCTCTGCTCCCATACAAGGATTATCCAGGAACTGGGCCAGTCCCTAGCACAAATGAGAACTGCTTGAGAGCAATTCTCACCTATACCAGCTGCCAGCAGCCCTCCATGCCTATTCTGGCAGCCCATGACTGTTGAGGCATCAGGGAGCCAACCCACCAGCACCTGGATGTGGGGTGGGGGTGGGTGAGAAGTCACTACATTGGGCCTACATCATAAAGGATACCTATATATGTTGGGAATCCTCCTGTGTCCAAGCAGATTGGCCTTTGGGCTGTGCTGGTGCACAGGGCAGGATCTAGTCCATAATGCCCCTGAGAGTTGCATCAAGAGTCACTGAGAAGTAGATGTGTCTACTTTCCTTTTTAAATTAACCAACTATCAGGCTGATGGTGACTGCAGAGGAATTTTTGAACTTCTGTAATGTGTGTTAGGACTTTGTTAGGTGTTATATCTTTCTCAGTGAGCTTTAAATAGTGTGCCCCTCTGTCAGAAGTTTATTATGAATGCATCGGGAAGTGGTTTCATTTTTTTCATTTTATTTTTGTTGTTTGAGCAAAAGAGTATCTTGTCCTACTTTTGCATGTGGATGTCAATTGCATTTTGCATGTCAATGTGGATTTTTCAGTTTTTTCCTTTAAAATTGCCCTGTTTATTCACCTGAAATATCAAGTGAATTTACATCAACCTGGAGGAGTAAACCCAGGGTGAAATGCTCCACTCCTTTGTTTGGATTCTTCATTTTGTGCTACACTGAAAATGATAGCATAAGCCCGGTGGCCTGAAGGCCCACAGAATTGGGAGCTCACTATTGTCACCCACTGATGAAATGGGAGAAGAAAGAGCAGCTCAGAGCTACTTAAGATTTGCAGATGGGCAGGGGCTCCATTGGCAAGGGAGAGTTATGGGAAATACAAATTACACACTTACCCAAGGTTCCTTCCCCTGCATCAGCCTCGCCTGTTGGGACTGAGTGGACTGCGGTGGAATCTCAAAGAGGTCCTGGCTCGTAGCATATATGAATCCCCCTCCAGTCACATGTCCTCCATTCTCTTCCTCCATCTCCTGGTTCTCACTGTTCATGCCAGGGGCCTGTGGCTTGGGCTCTTTGGAGCAGGGCCGGCTCCAGGCACCAGCGCAGGAAGCAGGTGCTTGGGGCAGCCAACAGAGAGGGGTGGCACATCCGGGTCTATGGCGGCAATTCGGCGGCAGGCCCTCAGTCCCTCCCGGAGGGAAGGACCTGCCGCTGAATTGCCGCCGAAGAGTGAAGTGGCGGCGGTAGAGCAGTCGCCGGAGTGCCGCTGATCACGGCTTTTTTTTTCTTTTTCCTTTTTTTTTTGGCTGCTTGGGGCGGCAAAAATGCTGGAGCCAGCCCTGCTTTGGAGGTCTCCATGGTAGTGTGCAGAGTGGTGGTGGGGTCTCAACCAAGTATGCCAGGCAGATCTTTGTAGAAAGGGCATGTCTGCAGCTTGGCACCAGATCAACTGTTGGGCTACCTGGCCTACAATATGCTTTCATGCGCCAAGTCTGCTGGTCCTGGTTGTATCCCTTCTCCTGCATCGCCCATGCAATCTGCTTATAGACATCTGTGTTTCTATGGCTGCTCCATAGCTGTGCTTGCACAGTCCCTTCTCCGCACTGGCCCAGGAGATCTAAGATCTGGTGAAACATGTCTGGAGCATGTAGCTGGGGCGGTCAGCTGACAGTTGCACACAACAATGGACAGCTGATAAGTGTGCTGGCCATGCTGGACAATCAGGAAAAGGAATTTCAAAAACCAGCAGAGTATTAAAGGAGAGGGGAACCATCTGGTCTCCACGACCCCTGGGCAGTAGAGTTTACAACTTTGACCAGAGCAGTCAGTGTTGGGCATTGTGAGACAGCTGCTGGAGGACTGTGAGGGTTGAGACAAGTAGCACAGTGTCTACACTCACGCTGTGTCAACCTCAGTACATCAACTATGGCTCAATGCTGCAAGGTTGCGTTAATGTGTCGCTGTAATGAAGCACTTACATGAGTGGCAGATAAATTTAAATGTAGACACATGCACAACTAAGTCGACACAAAGCGGCTTATGTCGACCTAACTTTGTAGTGTAGACCAGGCCTAAAGCCCAAATCCTTGAAAGTATTTAGGCTCCTAATTTTCATTGAAATATCTAAATACCTTTGAGGATCTGAGTGGCACTATATGTGAAAGAAAGCGTAGAATCAAATGAAGTAAAAATCTTAAATGAACTAAATTGTACTATAGAATCTCTATAAGATAGTAATTCCATACTTGAAAAATAAGAATATAGCAGTAGGGCTATATTACAGACCACCTGACCAGGATGGTGTTAGTGACTCTGAAATGCTCAGGGAGATTAGAGAGGCTATTAAAATAAAAAACTCAATAATAATAATGGGGGATTTCAACTATCCCCATATTGATTGGGTACATATCACTTCAGGAAGGGATGCTGAGATAAAGTTTCTTGACACCTTAAATGACTGCTTCTTGGAGTAGCTAGTCCTGGAAC